CGTCGGAATTATCCCCAATTATAGAATCTTTCGTAATTTGTTGTTGTTGCTGTTGCTGCTGCTCTAGCTGTAATTGTTCCTGATTTCCGGGATGTAACTGTTGCTCCTGTTTCCTTTGCTCTGTTGTTGTTGCTTGTATCGTAACTTTGACTGGTGAACTTGGAACACTTGCATTTGGCACGACTATTGGCACAATAAACGGCAGTATCAGATGTATCGTTTTAGAGTCATCGTCTAAATCGTCAGTCATCTTTTTCGACGTATATTTTTCCATCTTGTTTAAAGTGAAGTCTTTTTGATTTGTGCTGATATCTTCTTGTTTCGTGTTCTCAGTAACGTTTTCTGGCTTGATATTCGTCCATTGAGTACACGTACCCTTCGAAGATGTAATACTATCACAGTTCAAAATTGTGTTTGATGCTGCAGTGAACTGTGCCTTACACAGTTCGTTAAATATTAAAGTATCACTCAAAGATGTCGAAATAACTTCTTTCAAATTGTTTTCTTTAGAAACACCCAGTTCGTGTATATTACAATTTTCAGTTATAAACGACATATTTAACTCAAGAGATGTCGTCGACGCGCCATGAACCGTAACGTCACATTTTTTATTCCCTAGTATTGCGCATGATTCCTTCAACCTGTTCGAAGCGTCAATTTTCTCCCGCGCTATAATTTTCTCACGAACCACCTGCTCGCTTGCTACAATATTGCTAGCCAAATATCGATTCGAACATTGTACCGCGTGCACAGACGGGTTGCAACATTGGTAAGGACTATTGAACACAACAGGATCGATACAAGAAACAGTACTTCCATGCATATTTTTGCCCGCAATTAATTCCGTTTTACGACCCGATTCGATTTGAATCTTGTCGAGGGCTTTCTTCAAATGCTTTCGCTTCATTAATTTTTTGGCAATAACTTCCTCTCCTATTTTCAAAGTTAAAGGCACCATTTTGTGCTCTCTCGTTGCAAAACTTTTGGCAGGCTCAATCGTCGTATTGTTGAAAGATTTTAGGAATTTTTCACATACCTCGATTTCATTTTTCGTGCATCGAGTTCTTTCTATATTTGTGCTATGAATCTTTTCGTAAGTCCAGTGTTTCAACGAAATGTGTATATTCAAGTCAGTTTCACATTTAAAACATTTTCCACATAATTCGCATGCCACCCCCAGGATAACAATGGAGCAGTCACGCAATATTACACCATTGGGAATATTAATCCTTTTCATTTTACGACCACTGTTTATTATTTTATATTTGTACTGAGAGTTTCTTCTTTGAAGACCAATACAGCGTAGAAAATCTTCCTTACAATTTATTTTCGACACGTCTAGATTATATGTTTGGAAACAATTTTTTTCACCATGCTTGAGTGTCCTCAACGCGTATCTGCCTGGATCTCCGATAGTATGATAGTCCCGCTGCGTATGTAGCGCCATCTTCTAAAAGTTACGGACCCCTGCGAATACACAATTCTACCGCTGATTATTTTTGGGATGTTATAAATTAACAAGTGTATAACACATTGATAAATTTGATACGAAATATGTTATTATTCCAATAATTATCAATGTACAGATATTTGAGTGGTAGTAATAAATGTTTACAATGCATATTTAGTCCATATAGGGTGTCTTATAAATTTATATGTAAAGTTATTTTTCTTAATTTATAGATCAAAATAGCATTTTGAATGATGTTTTCTCAAGTTATAATGAATATACGGACTGTAAAAATAGCAATATCTTTGTTTCATTTTTAAAATATTTTCAGCATTATCATATTTTCTGTCATTAATTTATACCATTTATTATACTATTTTGAAATGTATATTTACGATTATTCATTATAGTTGTAATATTAATAGTATAGAATAGTAACAAAATAATAAAAATGAATAAATTAAAAAAGAAACAACATTTTTTAAAAAATTAATCAGAACATAGTCGAACAATAACTAAAATTGACTAAGAATGAATATTGAATATTCATATTTATTTAATACTATCGTTTGTAACTATAAGTAGATTTGCACAGATAATTATCAATTTCTATTCTTAAATATTATGGAGTGGTTAGAGATAATTATCAAACTTTACACACAATACGTTAAAAAAATATTATATACATGTGATGTTAAAAGAACAAATAGCTAAAAAAATCCATTATAATTTTTAAAATATTTCTGTTATAAGAAATACATTTTACAGAGTTATAAGAAGTATATTTTTACAGATTCTTTTTATAATCGCATCAAACTAATATAAAAATATAAAATAAAAATAAAGTACAAAAATAAGTTGTTTTACATCTTTCATCGACTACTTACTTTCTAAAACCAGATTACAATTAAAAGATTACATTTTCTAATTAATTAACTAATAAGACGTAAAGTGAAGATTCAATACTTACAAGAAAAGATTCCGAAGATTTTTCTTCCTCATTGCATCAAATTGTTGGAGAAGTAAACATTCACCAAATAGTTCGGAAGACATGAACCCTTCGAGGTACAAAAACAATCAGCTACATAATGGCGTAATTCCAATGTTGCCGAGCGTGAACTATTATTTCTACTATTATGATTATAAGTTTGACATTTTTACTATAATTACAAGGATAATTGGTGTCGACTAATTAATAAAATATAGAGATATACATGGAAGTTTTTTGACTTCAATTCAATTCAACGCAACACAGAAAACTGAATCTGTGGTAGACCCAACATCACAGTATGGCAACATCACGTAAGTAGTCAGTCAAGTAATATGATAAGACCCACGAGATTCAACCAGTAGGAAGCAAGATTGTATATAACACAGCCAATCGACGTCCTTATTTTATACACTGTAGGACTCATACTATATAAGAGCTGGACACAGTTTATCTTGCTCAGAAAGCAGTTGCCGATGCAATGCTTGTTACATATTTATTCAGAGACAAAATTCGTAAAAACAAAAAAATATATTTTTATATCTTATATCTTATATACATTTTGATATCTTGTATCTTTATATATAAAATTTAAAAATATATTTTTATATCTTATTATTGTATTATCTATTTACCACTCAGGATATGAACGGAATGTTCATCGTAAACTAAAGTTCCATTTATTAAGAACAAAGAATAAAATTTTCATTGAGATGTATTCGAAATATACAAATTTATTTATATCATTTTCTGATGTATATCTGAAAATATTTAATAGTCTTAAATATCGAAGAGTGTGTTTTATAAATCTTAAGAAAATCTTACTACTGTAAATTTATATTTAATATAAATTCGAAAACGTAAAACTAATTATTATGTGTATATATATATATATATATATATATATATATATATATATATATA